ATATTAAATAGAAATATTTACCTCAAATAAAATGTGGCAATAATATGTAAATAGAAATGTGAAAATTTTATCTCAAATACGCCTTGACATACATAGATTTTCATGTTGTTCAACATGATTATAGTTTTCTAAAAACCTCAGACATCTTTGTGTGGTTCATAATTTTCTATAAGAAGGCTTCGGTCTTTATCTGAATCTTCATATAAAGACCAAAACCTTCTTACCATAATTATGAATATCAAACACATCTCCTCGCATCTAAGACATTAAAGAAGATAGTAAACCTCATTTTTGGAGAAAGAATAGAAGAAAATTTGCTTGTGTGACCATAAATGGGCATCTATGTTGATATCAAGGAAGTAAACATACCTTATAATTCACATACAATAATAATTATTTCTCAAATTTTACATGCAGAGAAGTTTATTAAGAATCATTGATTTTGACTTTCAAATTAATTAAGGGGACAATTTATTTATCTCCAAAAAATTCATCTGATTGGAATGAATTTTAATGTAAATTTTAGATCTCAAAGAACCTAAATTCAACCAATGATTTTGAGCTTAATATAAACTCCCACTAGTGCCCCTCAACGAGCTCCTCGATTTCATGAACAACTCTTCTCCTTCACATGCCGACGCACTCGAACTTTGAAATGTTTGACTTTGAACCGATTCAACCACGTTCAAATCATTTAGACCATTTAGCAACCCATAAATACAATATTTTTTTAGTCTCATTTGTAATAACTTTGTCCAAAGTAAACTATCTATATATGTCTCCTATTATGCACACCATGAATCACATAATGTTTAATTAGGGTCTTGACATGGAAAGATTAAAATATTCCAAATAAATAAATATATTACCTTTCACTAATTATGATAAACCAATAATTAAAGTATTATAAGAAGATACAAATGAAAGCCAAAACAATTAAACTAATTAAGGCTCCTATCATATTATGTCATGTGACCTTATTCACCCAATATATAAAATAATTTTGACTTATAATTATATAATTAAAAAATTAATAAATTAATAAATTTGAGTTTTATCTCTTATATATAATGAATTAATTTGGGCTGATATCATCTTTAAAGTTTTATAAATTGGCCAAATTAATATTTTCATTTTTTTGGACCAATAAGGCAGATAATAAAAATCTTTATTCACATTAATAAATAAATTTGACTTCTTTTACAACTAGCTATATTTTAGGATTATATTATAAATAATACAATATTTAATCACATCACTAAGAAAATATGACAATAGTCTATAGCTAAAAGTTTAGCCACATCACTCATGTGGAGAGCATCTTGGTCCGCCACCCGATCAGTTTTTCTCTTTGTGACTTTATCTTAATTTTCTTCTTCTTTTAGAGAAGAAGAAAAATTATAAGTCCCCACTAAGAAAAAATTCTAACTACCTTAATGATAGCGCAAATTTAGGTTTCGTGTGGGACAGCTTTCTTATTTTTATTCACATTAATAAATAAATTTGACTTCTTTTACAACTAGCTATATTTTAGGATTATACTATAAATAATACAATATTTAATCACATCATTAAGAAAATATGACAATAGTCTATAGCTAAAAGTTTAGCCACATCATTCATGTGGAGAGCATCATCGTCGCCAAACCATCTAAGTCATCGCCGCCCCTTCTCCGTCCACATCATCGTCCGCCACCCGATTAGTTTTTCTCTTCGTAACTTTATCGTAATTTTCTTTTACTTTTAGAGAAGAAGAAAAATTATAAGTCCCCACTAATTAAGAAAAACTTCTAACTACCTTAATGATAGCACAAATTTAGGTTTCGTTTGAGACAGCTTTCTTATTGCTTTCTAAGTTAATTTTCAAGTATAAAAATTAATTTAGAAAGCATTAAGAAAGTTGTTTCAAAAGAAGTCTTATTATATAGTGATAATCAAAAAATTGAGATGAGCGATAAGAATCTTGGAGCATTACATATATAAAAACTTAAAAGCCTCCACAAAAAATAGAGGATTATCTAAACTCCGTTTCAACAAATTTATAGTTAAATTGAACGTCTCAATATGACGAACCTAATGATACGCACAAAAAAAATGATCAAATTCAAGCTCAAATTATTCCAAATCAAGTAATTGAAGCGTGATTAGAAAATTTGAGAGATTGGTTGAAAAACTAAGGTTTTGTTTGGGACAGCTTTTTCACTGCTTCTTAAAGCAGCTTTTTAGTGCAAAAATTTTAATTTTTGCTCATGGTAAAAGTCATGACGCAAGAGGGTAATTTCAGTGGGTGGCAGCTATTTCATTTCTTTATAATTTGGTCATGCTCATTCATCAATTAAATATATTAATGGTCTCACAATCAAATGATCTTGTGCTCGCTAGATTTATATCACTAATATGCTTGATTTAATTATAAGCATGTAAGATATAGAGATTGCTTGGACGGCTTTTTTACTGTTTTAAGAAGAATTAAAAATGCTATCCCAAAAGAACCCTTTGCTATGTTTGGGATATTTTTTTTCACCGCTTCTTAAAGCAACTTTTTAGTGCAAAAATTTAAATTTTTGCACTAAAAAGTTAATTTAAAAAGCAGTAAAAAAAAATATCCCAAACATAGCAAAGGGTTCTTTTGGGATAGCATTTTTAATTCTTCTTAAAACAGTAAAAAAGCCGTCCAAGCAATCTCTATATCTTACATGCTTATAATTAAATCAAGCATATTAGTGATATAAATCTAGCGAGCACAAGATCATTTGATTGTGAGACCATTAATATATTTAATTGATGAATGAGCATGACCAAATTATAAAGAAATGAAATAGCTGCCACCCACTGAAATTACCCTCTTGCGTCATGACTTTTACCATGAGCAGATGCGAGCACGGTAATAGCTAGAATGAATGGTTAATATAATGTACAGTTAGCACAGGGAACTGCTGACGATCAATACCTGCTCAATAACCTGAATTTTTCTATTCATGTCATGAATCCTTCACAACACGAATCATCACTACATGATAATCAAACAAAAGCATTATATCTTATTAACATAATACATCATTATATATACTTCGCAGAATTTTTATTAAGTCTGGTGTCCTGACATAGCTCTACATTCGGACGCTAGTAAAATGGTGTCACGTGCTCTTACTCTTTACCGCACGGCCCGACGATCCGACCCAGACCGGACCCGGGATTGCTATGTATTGGCTGATTTGTGCAAACCAGGGTATTGCTAGGTATTGCTCGATATTGCTCGGCAATAACGAGAAATACCATTCTTTCAATACCAATACCTAGCAATACCGAGCAATACCCTAATTTTTTTAGGTATTGCTAGGTATTGCTAAGTATTGGTCTTGACCGAACGGTATCTCTCCTTGTTGTCAAGCAATACCTACCAATACCCGAACATAGCAATACCGAGTTCCAGTCCGGGTCGAGTCTTCGGGCCGCGTGGTAAAGAGTAAGAGCACGTGGCGACATGTTATTGGCCTCCGGATGTAGAGCTACGTCAGGTGTCCGGACCTAATAATTGTTCGCAAAATTCTAGCTCTAAGATAAGGGTGTCAATAAAATTACATGACATGCCAATTTGATCTAAATATTTTAGGCTTATGTTAACCTATTTAATGAATGAGTCGTGTTTGGATCATGCATTTCTACCCGATTTGTTAAAATGCTTGGGTCTGGTTTACCCACCAACTCAATTTTTATTCAAAAATGATTTGTTTATTTTAATTCTTATATTTGTTAGTTCGGGCCGCGTGGTAAAGAGTAAGAGCACGTGGCGACATGTTATTGGCCTCCGGATGTAGAGCTACGTCAGGTGTCCGGACCTAATAATTGTTCGCAAAATTCTAGCTCTAAGATAAGGGTGTCAATAAAATTACATGACATAACAATTTGATCTAAAATTTTTGGGTTTATGTTAACCTATTTAATAAATGAGCTGTGTTTGGATCATGCATTTCTACCTAGCTTGTTAAAATGCTTGGATTTGGTTTACCCACCAACTCAATTTTTATTAAAAAAATGCATGTTTATTTTAATTCTTTTATTTGTTAGTACAATCTTATCATTCGTAATCAATTAATCTAAAATCTATAGTTAAAAATTAATAAAAAAATTATTTTTTATTACAATGATTTATCATTTCAAGTTTGGATTGCTAGCAGGTTAGGTTTGGAAGCACCTTTTTAATCTGTTTATTAAATAAGTCGGGTCAATTTTGAGTTGGACCCAATCCAACCAGTTGACCTATTTTGACACCTCTACTCGATCTAAGATCTTTCAAATTAATTTTTTAAGTATTATAAATTTTCTTTCAATAACTCTTCTTTCAACTGAAAATCTCATACTTCATTCTAAAATGCAGTGAAATCAAAAAGTGCTATGATTCATCTTCAATTGAATGTTATTTTGCTCCTTAACAGTCGCTCTCTTCTTTTGCACCTTTCTTCAGCAAATTCGGTAGAGACCAAAAAATGGCGCAGATCAATTGAAGATGTCGATCAACCTATATTTTGTAAATTAGAACATAAGCATATTTTATTTTTCAAGAGTAATTTTTGGAGGTGTCCTCAAGTTAATTAACCTCAGGTAGCCTAAACCCTTCAAGATGTCGATCAACCTATATTTTGTATTCAACTTAAGTTGACTTTAATCTGCTTATTTTTATGTATTTTTTTATCATTTTGAGATTTTTTTGGGATAGTTTAGATCAATGCCCACTTATGACATCGCACATAGCAGTGATTCAACTAAGATTTTGTTTGGGACAGCTTTCTTACTGCTTCTTAAAACAATTTTTTGACTAGAAAGTTGTTTTAAAAAGCAATAAAAAAAGTCATCCCAAAAAAAAGCCGCCCTTCGAATTCTCCTCAACGGAGCAGAGAAGCCCTCCTTCACTTGCTCGCACACCTCTTCTCGAAGCCCCATAGGCAGCCCAACCTCGCCTCTCAAAACCCTACGTCGCCGGCCGCCCGGAAAGGCCTATCACAGTCGCAGTGCAAACTCTGAGCTTTCGGTTTAATCATGGATACGGCGCAGCGACGATTAAAATCAATCTCCTTCCATATCCTCCAACCCGAAAACTCCTTCGTTCATGGAATCGATTCGGTATCCATCTGACCTTTATCATTACTCTTTACTCAAAACCGGAACTTGCGGTTTGGGTTATTCTGGCAATTTTCTTAATCGATACAAACTTATCGTTTCGACTATTCAGAATCTGCTTCTAGCTTTCCAAAAGCCACCAAAATCTTCACCTTTTCCCGTTGTTATCGGGGGCATGGTTTTAGATATTGTTGCGAAGCCTGATACACACCCATATCCTGCAACTACCACCCCCGGCAATGTACGTTTCTTCGCTTCCATGGTAGTCCATTTTCTTATTTAAAAGTGTTTTAAAAATTTGAATCGAATGCTTCCAGATTGAGTATGTGAGCGGAGGAGTGGCAAGAAATGTTGTTGAATGTATGACAAAGCTTGGAAGCAAGCCTTTCATGATAAGTGTTGTGGGATTTGACATGGCAGGTTGGTTTCAAATTCATTGCCATCATTATTGTTCTTGTAATTTGATTTGAATTTTCAGAGTTGGTTGATTTCTTGTTTCTGTTGAAATATAGGAGAATTGCTCTTGAAGTTATGGGAATCTGCTGAACTTCCCACTGAAGGTAAAGCACAGTATTAAGCCAATTGTTTGATGATAAAAATTTGTGTATATTATTCATATCAACGGGTTTCTTGTAACTAAATACCTCTTTGTTGCTCCCTGAGTGATATTGTAATGATTCCCAAAAGGCTCTATGTTATCTACGTTGCTTTCGGTTATTTTTTTCATCTCAATTGTATCACCTAATATCTTTTTTACTATGTTGCACCGATACACCTATTTATGAAGGCGTGTTGAATCCGATAAACCGATACACGGATACACCTCCGATATGGCACCGATATGTGTCGAATACGACTTTAATTTCAATTAAAATACTATTTAATTTCAAAAGGACACGTGTATCTAATACGCGTGCCCATTGAAAAACCAAAAAAATAAAAAAAGAGACCCATTGTATTTACTTCCGCGGCTACGAGTGAGGTTCTCGCATTTCCGAGATGGATTTGACTTTCTTAATGATATGGGGATATTAGAAATTGCTAATCTTTCGCTTGATGAGTCTGAAGTAGAAGTTATGATATTTATTGAAGATGACATAGAAGTTCAAAGATAAACCACTGAAGAAGTTAATCATATCATTCATTCTATTGAATAGTCTTCATGTGCTAGACAATTTATGTTTATGCTTTTGTTGTTGTACTAGACATTTAATGCTTACTTTTATTTTGATATTATAAGCTACAAGGCTACAAATGATGTTACTTTTTTTTTTTTTTTGTAATTTCAAGTATTATGCTTTGATTGCTTTCTTAATTTTTATGTATGCTTTATAAATTATAATGTCATGTCTGCGCCATACCCGTATCCTATATTTTTAAGAATTGACATGTCCCGTATCCTTTTCAGAATCTGCTTCTAGCTTTCCAAAAGCCACCAAAATCTTCACCTTTTCCCGTTGTTATCGGGGGCATGGTTTTAGATATTGTTGCGAAGCCTGATACACACCCATATCCTGCAACTACCACCCCCGGCAATGTACGTTTCTTCTCTTCCATGTTCGTCCTTTTTCTTATTTAAAAGTGTTTTAAAATTTTGAATCGAATGCTTCCAGATTGAGTATGTGAGCGGAGGAGTGGCAAGAAATGTTGTTGAATGTATGACAAAGCTTGGAAGCAAGCCTTTCATGATAAGTGTTGTGGGATTCGACATGGCAGGTTTTTGTCAAATCCATTGCCATCATTATTTTTCATGTAATTTGATTTGAATTTTTTTGTTTAAATATAGGAGAATTGCTCTTGAAGTTATGGGAATCTGCTGAACTTCCCACTGAAGGTAAAGCACAGTATTAACCAATTGTTTGATGATAAAAATCTGTGCATATTATCCATATCAACGGCTTTCTTGAAAGTAAATACTTCTGTGTTGCTCCCTGAGTGATATTGTATTAATTCCCAAAAGGATCTATGTTATCTACATTGTTTTCCATTATTTTTTTCATCTCAATTGTATCACCTAATATCTTTTTTATCATAAATTTATCCTATTATCACATTTTCATGCACTGTATATGCCCTTTATCATATTTCCTTTTTAAATTTTATCATCTTTACATCATCCTTAAGAAGGATGCTACTTTTGACGTGTTGCTTAGGCTCCGTTTGGGATGGCTTTCTTTCTTCTTCTTAAAGTAGCTTTCTAGTACAAAATTAAAAATTTTATACTAAGAAGCTGTTTAAGAAGCAATAAAAAAGCCGTCTCAAACAAAACCTTAATCTTATATAAAAATCAGTCCTAATGATACCAAAAGCCTTTATCTTATATGAATTTGTTTCCATTCTTGTTGTACTTCCAATGATATGTTAGATTTTCTTATATTTCCTCTTTTAAGAACTGATAGCTTCGATCCATCATTTTCAGCGGATGCTTCTTCGAAGCTTGTTGCATACTATGCTGCTAAACCCTTTGCTATCTAAAGTAAAGCCAGTTCTACTGAGAAGCATGCTATATTTTCTAGCCATGTTCTTTTCTATGTATACGAAAATGTAGTTAATCAATTTGTCTCTAGTTGCATGTTGTAGGACTGCTGAAGCTGAAAGGTATCTCTACTCCTGTCGTATCAAACATATTTGACTGCAAAGGGGAGTTATTTGCAGGTGTAGCAAGCGTTCATGCTGTTGTAAGTTTCTTTTCTTTTCTTTTTGGCTGCTTATTAACTTCAATAATTAATTGCTTCGGCTTATTAACTTAAATACAAGCTTTTTCTCTGAAGTTTCTATGATTGAACCAGGAAAATTTTCTTAGTCCAGACTGGATTTGGAAGTTTAAGCATTACATATATTCAGCACCAATTTTAATGGTTGATGCAAATCTACACCCTGAGTCACTTGAAGCTGCTTGTCAAAGTAAGGCTGTTTTTATCCAGCTATTTTTGTATGCCTTAATGCATTTGCACATTCTTTGATTGATTTGATTTTGAAGTCTAAAAAGATGTCAGATGAGTAAAGGAGTATGTTGATTCTTATTTTTAAGAATAGAGATGATGCACAAGAGTGTGTGTATCATAGAGGACCTAAGTTAATGTGTTATATATTAAAATTATGGGGGAGAGTAATTGGGCCTAGGTGAGTAAGGATTGGGCCAAAATCTTAAATGTCTTTGAGAATCAGTTCAAATGGATGAGAGCAACAACTAGTGGTGGAGGGGAGGGACATACAATGGCATTTGTCTAGCTTATATACATGACAATCAAATTTTAATACATATGAGAAGCCAAGAACAAATTCTCGAAGTTTGTTGGGAGGGAGATGGCCAAGTCAACCAATGGAGCAAAGTAATGATGGAAGATGAGTAGAAGGAACATCAGTCATCAAGCAGTAAACCCCATATAACTTAACACCTCCATCATTTGTCTTCTTTGAGCAAAAGTTGTTATCAAGACTTGCGCCACAGACCAATTCGAGGGGAAATTAGGATTTTATGTTTAATAATGTATAAAATAATATATGCCTCTGGCATCTTATTTATAATCCAAATTGACAAAAAATTAGTAGTTTTTTTGAAAATGGTCAAAATCTAATTGAAGTGTTTCCAATTTAGCTTCATGGCAAACTGATGTTTTTTTGGTTTCACTATAATGCAAATCCTGCTTTATGGTGCAGAATGTTGGCCATTAAAAGAGAATCATATTATTAAGTGTTGCAGAGATTAGGATGCTCATGTGGATTAGTGGCTTTACTCTTAGAGACAGAATATGAAATTGGCATATATCTGTGAAAAAGGTTGGAGTTGCTCCATTGGAAGATAAGATTAGAGAGAGTTGCCTTAGATGGTTTGGTCACATAAAACGGCGGCCTTCCGATAACCCGGTTAGGAAAGTAGATGTATTAGATTTGACTTATGTTAAGAAAGATAGAGGTAGACCTAAAAAGACTTGGTTGGAAAATATTAGAAATGACATTTCTTTATTAGATTTAATTGAAAATTTGACTCTTAACAGGACACGACGGAGAAAACTGATTCATGTAGCCTACCCCACATTGTGTGATAAAGGCTTGATGTTGTTGTTTGTTGTAGTATAGTGCAAATCCTGCAGCTTTCATGTTCATTAACAGTGCATTACAAGGATCAGCAAATCAGCCGCACCTTTCCAGAGGACTGAGTACGCAAGGAAGGCAAGAGAGAGCACATATGGAAGGGCAGATGCGGCAAAATAGAGACCATGTCCAACAGATGACTTCAAGCAAAGCATGTGAAATCTTTTTCATAACATCATAGATCTCTTACATTCAAAAATAAATTAAAAATAAGAAAATAAAATGTTAGAACAACAAAACTTGTCAAAGTGTTCATCTTAAATCTCGCATCCTGTATTTTCTACAGATATAAAATTTTAGATTTCCATCAAAGTGGTCATCTGAAAATGGCTTTAGGCTTCCTCCTTCAAACCAGACTAAGGCCTGTCATCCTCAGTTCATATATGCATTTCTTATCTCCATAGTTATGCCAAAGAAATGAAGAAATTGAAGGTATAGAAAAATGAAACTTCCCATGAGGAAGTATCCGAGAGAGAGAATATGCTTCTCTAATTGTTTGTTCTTGCCCACATTTCCTATTTTTTTGGAATTTAATTCACTTAATTTTGATGGCTTTTCTAATGAAGATGTTTTTGAACTGATTAGATTCCCTTTGAGCATGATATTAATTAAGAGCTAATATATATTAAATAATTTATAGATTGGATTTAAAGAAATCTTTCTAGCACGAAAAAGTAAATAAATGGACGAACAATCCACAGAATGCCCAGTTAAACTTTCATGCAATTCCTAAGCTAATTCATATATGCTTTAATTAGTGTGCGTGGATGGGTATATTGAAGAAGAGCTTTTGGACAGCATAATTTGTTGTTGAGTGTAAGGCTTCATTTGGGAGTTGGGACAGCTTCTTTGTTGCTTTCTAAAATAGCTTTTAGAATTTTTTTTACTAGAAAGTTGTCTCAAACGAACCCTAAGTAGTCAGAGTTAAGGAGTCATTTTTTTTTTTTCAAATCATGACCATTCCAAAAGATGTGGATGAGTGGCCTATCTTGATAATATCTTTGTTTTTCATATATTAATTTCTTTCATATTCATCTGATGCATTGTTTAATTATCTTCTCCAGTAGCAGCTAAATACCGCACTCCAGTGTGGTTTGAACCTGTTTCAGTGACAAAATCTGCAAGAATAGCATCTATTGTAGATTATGTAAGTACTAGAACACAAATTTCACTTTAATTTACTTTGATGATGATACTGTGTTACTCATTACATTTAAAGGTATAAATCAGCCAAACATGATAGAATCATTCTGTATGTCTACTAACCAATTAATAAATCTGAAAAAAAATAATATTTAGAATATGTACATAACGACAACAATAAACCTTTATCCCACTACGTAGAATCGGTCACATGAATTTTTTTCTCCCTTGTATCTATTAAGAATCAAATTCTCATTTAGATCTAAAAAAAGGTCATTTTTAATTGTGTTCAGCTTGTTATGAAAATGAGCTCAACGCAATCATTCAATATCAAATCGCTTCCTTAAAGATCAAACAGAACATGAGTTTCTTAATGAGTCTAATGTGAACTGTTTGTAAGCAACAAGCTTTTTGACATTCTAACTATATTAGATTTCAGGTTATTTCTTTATTTGGCCTTATTAATTTTGCAGATAACATGTGCATCTCCTAATGAAAACGAGCTCATTGCCATGGCAAATGCCTTGTCTTCCCAACAAAGGTTTAGTTTTGTGCAACGGCACACAAATACAGAAAAATGGCTTCCATCGGTGCAATCATTGTTCGATCTCTTGAAACCAGCAATACTTCTTTTGCTGGAAAGAGGAATCAAATTGCTCATTGTGACCATTGGTTCTGATGGTGTATTTGTATGCTTCAGAGATGTTGCTGACTTCCTGAAAGACATTACTATGAAGAACAAAGAAGAAGTTGATCACAATAGACAACTATTGAAAGTTATCAAGAAAAATTGTCCTCACCACCATGAAAGTTTCCTGAGATTTGTACAGATGAGTTCAGGTTCTTTTGCTTTTCATCTTCCAGCACCAGCTGCTTCAGTAGTGAGCCTCACTGGAGCTGGTGATTGCTTAGTTGGTGGAATACTTTCTTCTCTTTGTTCTGGTTTGGATATCATGCAAAGTGCTGCAGTAGGTGTTGCTACAGCGAAAGAGGCAGTTGAGGCTTTTAATAATGTGCCAGTTGAAATATCATTGAACAGAATTGCTTCTGAAACGCACAAAATTCTTTCAGCTGCTAAGCAACTAATGTTTGATTCTTAGTTGGTGTAGGATTTCAGATGCTTTTTGAGAAGTGAGAACCAAATGTTAGCTGTTTTCTTTATAATGGACTTAGCTGTTGTGTCGCTGCTTTCTTTTTTCGGGAGACATTTAGAAGACTAAACTCACAAACAAAACACAGGCAAGCTTCGAATCAAAGACCTCTTGATTGATGGTCAAAGTTCCCAATCAAAAGATAGAAGTGAGTTGCGTTTGCTACTTTCTTTATAAATCTGTTTTTGTCAAATAAAATCCTAATTCTTCATTTAATCACAAATGATGAATTTGATCTTATATTCCTGTATTTTAATGTGGACTGAGCTTATGTAATTTGATTTTTAATGGTCATTTTTGTTTGATTCTAAATTAGTCATTTCGGCTTCATTATCTTGCTTTTCTGAAGTATTGATTTTAATATTTACATGTATACCTTCAATTTAAGCATTTTGATCTAACCAAAATGAAATATTTGCAATTTTCATTTTGTTGTAATCTCCTATTTGCAATCTAATGATTGTTAATTGCATGCTTATATTGTAATGAGGTTGATTGGATAATTGTGGTGATATTACTGTGATTGCTATTTAGAATATTTCAAAGATTGTTAAGAGATCAAAATGTTGTGTCAGTCAGTAATGAACCTCAAACAAATCCAAATGCTCTATATGATTAACTCTTTATGTGTTCCTCTTAATAGAGATTGTTATGCCATTGTACAGAAACACCTTAGCCAATTAATTTGATGGCATTTAAGTTGTTCTTGTAATGCTCTAATTGTTAATGTAGAGCTATTTAAGTGCTCACATTCCTCTAAATGTTTTGTTTAGACTTGGTCTTCGTTTGGGATGACTTTTTTACTGCTTCTTAAAGCGGCTTCCTAGTATAAAAATTTAAACTTTGTACTAAGAAGTTATTTTAAGAAGCATTCAGAAAGCTGTCCCAAACGATTCCTTAGGCTTCATTTGGGATGATTTTTTTAATGTTTCTTAAAGCAATTTTTTAATAAAAAATTTAATTTTTTATAAAAAAAATTATTTTAAGAAGCATTAAGAAAAACGTCCCAAACAAAACCTTACAAGATTTAAGAAAGCTCATATTATTGGATGGAAGCTCATGTATCGAACTATAAATGTATGGATAAGATAAAGAAGTAAATAAAGATTGTTTAGGGTAAAAAAAAAAGAGTTAAATAAGAGATTGATTTTTCATTTGGGGCCATTTTTTTACACAGTATAATTTTTAAATAAAAAAATTAACTTAAAATTTTTTTTAATTTTTTTATTTGAAAATTATTAGAAAACAGTAAAAAAATTATCCTAAACAAAGGGAGAGAGTTATATTAGCGAAAGCTTCAATTTTTTTTTACTAAAATTTATCATCCCTCATAAATAAAGAAATATTAATAACATATATTTTTTAGTGTGATAATGAAATATTCAAACAATTGAATCACGAATTCAAAGCACTTTAATTATTTATTTTAACAATCATTTGATTCATATATAACCAATACAATAAAAGTAATTAAATTATATATTTTTCTCCTACTTTCTTATCTTTTTTTCTTATCAAAGTCGTATGCAATAATAAAATTATTAAATAATTTATAAATTTCTAGATAATATTACATATTTAGCCTTAAATGCAAATATAAAAGTTATCATACTTTCTATATTATAAATCACATAACTCAATGGAAAATAATAATTTAAAATTTCTGTAATAATTCAGATAACCATTTGAATGATATTATCTAACTCTTTTTTTTTTTTTTTTTTTTTTTTTGGGACAGGGTTTTTTGTGGGAACAGGATATTCACCCACTGCCACCTCCGAAAGGGTGCTTAGCGGCATGACTAACCCTTAGCTAACCTAAAAGAGGCACATACCCTAAAAACCTGATGGCCCACACTTGATTAGACCCCACTTAAGAGGTGTTGCCGCTCAAGAGGAATCGAGCACTGATTAGGGAATTTTTATTAGGTCTGGACACCTGACGTAGCTCTACATTCGGACGCCAATAACGTGTCGCCACGTGCTCTTACTATTTACCGTGCGGCCCGATGACCCGACCCGGACCGGAACCCGGTATTGCTATTTATTAGCTGATTTGTGCAGATCAGGGTATTGCTAGGTATTGCTCGGTAATGAGAAATACCATTATGTCAAGACCAAGACCTAGCAATACCGAACAATACCTAGCAATACCCCGGTTTTGCTAGGTATTGCTCGGTATTGTTAGGTATTGGTCTTGACAGAGTAGTATTTCTCGTTATTGCCAAGCAATACCTAGCAATATCGAACAATATCAAACAATACATAGCAATACCTAGCAATACGCGAACATAGCAATACCAGGTTCCGGTCCGGGTCGGGTCATCGGGCCGCACAGAAAAGAGTAAGAGCACATTGCGACATGTTATTGACGTACGGATGTAGAGCTACGTCAGCTGTCCGGACCTAATAATTATTCCAGATTAGGAGGTTCCCAACCGCAGGATTGACCTAACTCCATTTTAATTATATCAGTATGCACTTAGTACAAATGCAATAAACTAGTCCATAAAAAGTGTATCACGAAAATGACCCTACTTAAAAGTCCATATTACATAATTCACTTATATCAATGTCACAATTATCTGGAACCTCAAATTCAACGGGGTGCAACCAATCATGAAGCATTAAACTCTCAATTAGTTGGGCAGCATAGCATTTATCATACTTTAAAAGGACAATTTAAATGTTCTTTAATTTTAAACCACTCACATGCAAGACTAGTGCTTCATTCGAGAGAGCTTTATTTGTGAGATTTTTAATACAAAAATTAAAAAAATTTATATAAAAAACCACTTCATGAAACAGTAAGAAAATCACTCCAAACGAAATCTAAGACTTCTTCTGGCACATCTTTTTTGCTATTTTATTTTTCAAATATTAACCACATTTTTTTTGCCACTGATTTCAATATTTTTTTATCATGAAATTTTTTACAATAAATTTAAAAAATTTTACTTTTTTTCACAATAACTTTACGACCATCTTCATAAAAAAATTGCACCATCCCAAAAAGACCCTAAAACTTGGCCTTCATTTGAAACAACTTTCTTACTATTTTCTAAAACATTTTTTTTAATACAAAAATTTCATGAATTTGAAAAAAATTTATAGCAAAATAATATTTTAAAAAATAATAAAAAAGCATGTTGTTAATTCTAAAGCTGCTATGGATATATTATTTTATTGCACATATTAATTGTATTTCCTATAAAACTCAAACTACCTTTTTTTTCATTTTATATCATACTTTGCTTTAGTAATAATTGCGATGGCTAATAACAGTCAATCCAAAATGACTAAGAAATACTACAAAAAATGGCAAATTATTGCATCAAGTGACCGGACGCGCATAATAGGTTAAGACATCCAATAAAACATGCCCCTTTTACCTGCGCTTTTTACGCGCTTAACTTAAAATAATATTTTATTAATATCCAGACCTATCTCCAAGTCTGATGACAGAATGCAATAATTTGCCCCAAAAAATAGGCCACAAACACATACAAAACTGTCAGAAGAGTTGAAATTCTTGAACGAGGTCGGCTCCCCCTCTAAATTCCAGTAGTTGTGAAATGTTTCAGCTGAAGAAAATACACTACGGTGGCTTTATATGCACACAATTCCTTACATTTAAAAATAATGTAACAGGTTGCCAATTAGACAGGTATAGATATGCCTCGTCTTGCCATGCTGTCCAGGATGTCATTCAGTGCTTGGCATAGACCCACAATCTGCAGATCAGGTGGAATCGAGTATCAGATTGCTAATGTCTTCCAGGTGTTTTATCTCCAATATTACAAATAGAGTACCATTACATGAGAGATTATTATGTGCGGAGGCGGAACACAGTTCACCGTCCAGAGACCAACCAGAAGCACCACATCAGTGGGTACTAAGCTCAGTACCGAGCAGAGGGCGACGTGACGCATTCTGGTTAGTCTCCGGACGGCGTTCGGCGTCCGCACAAAATAATTTCACCCGTTACAAAGGGTAGAAATTATTCTATGTGGAGGCTGGACGCAGCTCTACGTCCAGAGTCGAATCAGGTGCAGCAATCGAGCAGTGCCAAGCTGCGGTACACATCGAAGAGGTGACGTAGCACATTATGGTTGGGCTTTGGATGGCGTTCGGAGTCCGCACATAATAATTAACATATTTGGTTCTTATTATACTAACTGTTTTTAAATTCAAATAATATATCTGGCTAATAAGATGCAAAAAGAAGAAATAGAAAGAACAATATATTTTAAACAGGTAATAATATCAGTAGAGGGAATGAAGATTGAATGATAAAGATCCTGTTACTAAAACAGGCAGTGACAGTAAGACTCACCTGCTGATCCCATTGCTGCAACTCCTCGGTATCATCATCAAAATGAATGACTGCTTCAACCTGGATTAATAAATGAACAACAGAAGAACTTTAATAAGCCATATACTAAGAAAATGAGAAACTGATCGACTTCTGAAGATTAAAAATATGAAATTTTGAGACAGTCAATCGCCATTTGGACCAACAAATTATTTTTTCAATTCTGAGCTTGTTCTTTAGCACTACAAGTAGCAAACTCAAGGACAAGTCCTATTTTGAGCGAGTCAAATAGCAATACACATAACAACGTCCTGCAAAGTCCAATGCAGGTTGCATTCAGCCGAAAAGGGCCTATCAAGAGAAATAAATCACACACAAATTGGGATATAGAGCATCAGAAAAAGAATCCTCAAATTTTCTTGATGACCTTTCTTGCATTTAAACAAGGAATCTCTTCCTCACCTTTTCTAAAAGATAGTTTTAGAAACATTGATTAAGGGAATGGAGCTTTCTAACGAATAAATAAATATCGAAAAGCTTTTCAAAACAGTAGAAAAATGAAGTTCCCTAAAAAGCATTTCTATAGAAGCGTCCCATCCAAACAGCGACAAAAAAATAATTTCACTGTTTCTAAACAAAAAAGATAAAAAAATGCCGAAACAAACGAGGCCTAAACTACTAGGCCCGCCAAAAGTGTAATACCGGACAAGCTACTTCGTAGAAAATGCTCGAGATTCTACTGATAGATTACTGACTGCTCCGTGCTTCATATTTGATTAGAAAATTAATCAAAATAACATTTAATGTGAACTAAAGTCATGCAGAATAGAAGTGAAACCACTAATTACAATCACATAATTAATATAAATGCCGAGGTGAATCTAACCTGATCAATAGATCCCCTCATTCTATCCTCATAGATCATCCTTGAAGCTATCTTCTCGGCCTGTATATCAGAATACGCCCAACATTTGTCATAAGAATCTGATATTCACAGAATAAGCCAAGTAGTTAAATAACATATTGATAGGCCATGGTCCTCATGATAGGAGGCTGTGGTTAACCTCCCGGCAAAGAAGATACCAGAACAAAATATTTGAAAATTAACAAGCCTAAACATAGTTATGGAGGTCAGATTAGTAAAAATACAGAATTTTTGCAATATTCATTCAATCTAGAAGAATAGATGAAGTGAATCAGGAAAGCAAGTTTAAAATTATTATGTAAACTAGTGGTAGACTGGTACGGCTTCACAATGCTTGATATTCGGTTCTTCCTCTCCTTTTGTAAAAAATAGTTTTAGAAACATTGGTTAAAGGAATGGAGTTTTCTAATGGAGAAGCAAATATCAAAAAGCTTCTCAAAAAGTAGAAAAATGAAGTTCCCTAAAAAGCATTTTTATAGAAGCTTCCCATCCAAACAACGGCAAAAATATAATTTCACTGTTTCTAAACAGAAAAGGGAGGCATAAGTAGAGTTTTAAAACCTTATCTGAATTTATTTTGGACATTAAGGCACGCAGTCACCATATAGGATAATATTATACGCACAAGAATTAGATAATTGAGTTTGGACAATAACGTAGATTGTCATATTATAGGATAACATTACACGCAAAAGAAATAAAGAGTTAAACGAAGAGATTTGAGGTGCCAGGATAGAATTTCCTTTCCACTTTTGTTTGTTTCCAATAAAGGGAGGTTCTATTCCAGAAGAAAATGAAATCAAATTTATGAATGAATCAATAACTGAAACATCCGTACCAAGAATTTTCAAATTTAAAGACAAGCTAACACATTTAGAGAGGCAAACTAGATGGCAGCTTTTAAAAAAACTAATGTATGAAAGTTGCAGCCATCATTGTAATCATCATTGCCATCATCTTTAATCCTCAAGTGGAGCACATATTATTAGGTGCGAACACCGGACGGAGTGAACCGTCCGGATTTCTCTCTGTCTATAGTAAAAGCACAATTACTGTAGCAACTGCGCTTTGACTGTCTTTTTATTGTAGATAGAGAGAAAACCGGACCGTCCAGTGCCCGCACCTAATAATTTCTCCAAGCGGAGGCTCATTGGTAAATCCCACTTCAATATTCACATGAGTAGACAAGTCACTGATTTACTTCAATATTCACATGAGTAGACAAGTCACTTTGACTTTTAACAATAGCCAACCCAATTCCTTTCGGGTAACCTATAATAATAATTGGTCAGCTACAACGGATTTTCTCCATGCAATTTTAAAATAATTCTACCTCTTTTTGAGCTCACAGTTCAACATGCAGCAAAAATCATATTTATTTTCCATCACCAATGTCCTCAACAAATTTTAGTCCCACAAACTTTCCTAATAAGATCATTCCAAACATCCTTTTACCACATATCCTACTTAACATCTCACTCAAAAAAAAAAAAGTTTTAACTTCTTTGTTTGTTTGCGGTTGCTAAACACATGGGAATGTAAAGCGTTGCTCATATAACCTTCCTGTAAAGTTTCCAAGGGGCATTCTCCTAGTGCTATCTTCTAACAACATAGTATTCTGATCCATCTAGATCCCCAAGCTTTAATCCTACCGATACATCATTCTCTATATTCATCCACTTCTGTATAATATATATGCCAAACAAACAATAAGTTCTAGAAACTATAAATAATGAAAGAAACAGAAATATTTCATTACAACTACAATCACATATACAGCATTAAAGAAGAAAGAACGAAAGTTCCTCTGAACCTTGAGAAAAACTAATGGTCAAATTCACACCAAGTGCAATTAGAACCATTTTTAAGCATGAAATAAAAAGTTTAATAAAGCTTTATAAATTGTATAAGCAATAATTGAATGCGGCAGGTCTGTGAGATAGAGGGAGTGAGATAAAAAAAGAAATATTTTGCTAAGCTAACTGAGAAGAATATACCTTCTGAGGAGCAATACCTAATAAGGCGCCCAATTCTTCAAAGCTGTTTCAACAAAAGAGAATTATGTATCAGTTGAAGATGAAAATAGAGCTGGTAATTCATATGAAAATCCAAATTTTATCTATCACAACCTTATGTTTGTATAAAGCTTGCTAGCACTTAAAAGATTGTGTTCAATCATTGCTCGATCCAGCACGGTGAAATTATCAGGTAAAAGAGCTTTCTGTTGGAATGCGTGAGCAGAAATTACATAATTATACAATAATAACAAAGGAAAATAAGTAAACAAAAAAGAAATCACAATATCAACCGTCAAAACTGTAGTACCTGGTGCGGTCTTAACTCATTTGCGAAGGCATCAATTTCTGGCTTTCTCAGTATCCTCTCCAAATAAACCTGTCGGAACTCAGTTAAAATAAAACTATGTTCCAGATAGGAAGTTGAGCTAATTAAACTTCATGAAGGAATGAAGAAAAAAATCCAAATATTTCAAAATACCTTCTGCAGAATAGGGTAGATCTTCAATTTTGTACACCTCTCATCCTAATCGCATAAGATGAAAGCAAAGTTATTTGCAGAAATTCTTTTTTCCATGAGAAAGAGAAGGTACAGCACATTTAGAACAGAATTCTCTACTACCATTGATCAATGGAATGTTCAAACATGATTTATTGAAGTGAAGGTATTCTGCCAGATGATTCGTTCAGACTAATTACTGGTATTTAGCTATCAAGGATTTAAGGGATAGTGAACTGCAAGTGAGAAGGGGAATAGTTACTCTTCTCTGTGGTGTCCATACGTTTAAAGAATCAGAATTGCCTACCCACATTAATGTTTAGAAAGAAAGCTGCAACAAGAGTAAGTGCACCCACCTCTATTCCTATCCTCTTTAGTAGAACTATTAACATATAAAACTATATGTGGGTCAGCTTTTGAGAAATTCAAGGTCAGCGTTAATGGTTTTTTTAAGCATCACAACAAGCACACAAAAAAAAATCATAAATGCTACACAATTGATTGGTAATTATCTTATAACTCTCATTGCCTGTCATGAATTCACTTCTTCCTCTTTGTCATAGAGAGAGAGAGAGAGAGAGAGAGATGTAACTATTATAAAAGGGACACCTTAGCACACATTTGCAAACCTCATTGTTGACATCCCAATCATCAGCATTTGTGAGTTTTATATTACTTTAAATCAAAGAGATATTTTGATCACTGTAAACTGGAAGAGAGCTTGAGAATGAGATAATACTGAGTGAAAGAGAAAATGAATAATATAATGTAGTAGAACTTTTAAACTAGAAAAACATCGTGACCACCTTGTAAGAAAATAGCTTAACAATCCAAACAAGTTTAGAGAACTGTACACAAATTGACTTCACACATTATCAATAACAACCCAATCCATGTGATAAATCAATGAATATTACTTCCAACAAATCTGTTATAAACAATCTATAAAATTAGAAAATACAAAAATAATTCTAAGCCCCCAAATAAGAATAATATGATTCAATAACAAAAGGGGGCAAATAAATGACCAATAAATGTAAGATTAAGCTTCAGAAACTATAATGTTTATAAATATGACACATCCTAATTACTCTTCCAGCTTTAGAAAGCATATTAAAATAGAATACTAAGGACCACGAGCTGTAAAGCAAAAGCAACCTTGAAACTGATCTTCAAGGATAATTCCACCCCCTTTACTTGTGTCAATAGCATCCAAAAATTTGACAATCTCGTTCATCTCAGGCTTTTTGTCTAGGTTTGATTCCCAACATTTTTTCATAATATTTCCCAATGAATTTGGGCAACACCGTGGTATTTTTTATCGCAAATTATATCGGTTGTAACGAATGAATATTTAGATTCACTTCAAATTCATATGTTAATGCTAAAATAATTTTAAATTTTGTAGATAAATGTTATCTACATGATAAAGCTCACTTGAGACAAACTGGTTAAGTCAATAAGAGCTTTGAACAGTTAAACATAAATATTGTCTCAAAGTTTTAGCATATTTAAAAACCTTGGATTTAGATGAGTTTTAAATATAATAACATTATAATTGGTTTTTGATCATGCAATTGAATAGATATGAAAAAAAAATCATTCAAATAATCTAGTAGAACCTTTAGATAATACTGCTTAAATTAGTACAAAAATAAAAGTATAGATATAGCATCATATAATCATAATCATTAGCCTAATCTCAACAATTCATAGTCAACTCATTTAATTCTTAATTTCAATTTATATTCTTCGTCAGGTGTTGAATGTTGGATATATAATATTATTTGGAAGACTTAATTTTTACAAGTTTCAATCAAGTTACATATGGTCTAACACTTTTTCTTCTTGTCTTTCACATTATTTTTATCTGCTCGACGTCTTGTTGCATTTCTTCCAAAATCACTATAGTTCTACAAACTCATAATAATTGATGTTAACCACATAGAGTGTCCAATTGATAAGCAGACGTGATAAGTTGTTTTTCCGTTTGCACTGCAGCAGCCGCACTTCTCCAAACTTTCAACAACTTCCTCTGTTTTGTAGAGATGCCTTTTGCAGAATTAAATCTGATTTTTTCCTTAGTAACGGGTTTCCATTTCTTCTTGATATTTATATTAATGCTCACTGCAAACAAAAGTAAGGGGAGATATGGAAAGTTTGATTGTTGCTATGGACTTCTTTATAGCCTTCTTTATTCTATCTGTTAGTATGTTTATTGTAGTATTACATAATGCAATGTATTTGTTTCTCATGGTACCAGAGCCCAGGCTCCTACAATACGGCATTACGGCTTATAGGTAATATCGATATACATCAGTTATAAGATCTACTTCTTCTACTATAAATCCTCTTCAGTCCTCTCAGTCTCCCATTTAAAATGAGTGAGATCTCCATACCTCCTCAGATGAAGTTTCTTATGCTCAATATCAAGTCGGTAATCAATATTCAACTCAACTTTGATATCTCCTTTCGAAATCTCAAATCCTAAAACTATTCACAGCCAATAGGTTTGATGGATATCTTGTAGCTTTGCACCTAAACCAACGAAGTAGCTTAATGAGGCCGGAGAAATTATCCTGAATCCACATTATTAGACTTAGATGATTGTGGATCAAAACTTAGCCGCACTTCTCCATCTCTGTATTCTAACTTATCACGTCTGCTTATCAATTTGACACTCTATGTGGTTAGCATCAATTATAATGAGTTTGTATAATTATAATGATTTTGGAAGAAATGCAACAAGACGTCGAGCAGATAAAAATAATGTGAAAGAAAAGAAGAAAAAGTATGATAGGAAACACTTGGATTTCCAAGTGTTTCACACCAAGAACCAAGTCAATCTAGGATGAAATCTGCTGTCCACACAGGAAAACAGCCAAAAAACAGTGGATTCGGAGAGAAAACGAAGGAGAAAACGTAAGAGAAACGAAGCAAACACTTTTATTTAATGAGAAATGAAAAGTACTTGCAAGATACAACTTTCCTTCAATTCGAGAGGAAGGAAAAACATTGTCAAACTTTTGGAGGCTATTGACACAAGCAAAAGGGGTGGAATGATCCCTGAAGATCAATTTCAAGATTGTCTTTGCTTTGCAGCTTGTGATCCTTAGTATTCTATTTTAATATGCTTTCAAAAGCTGGAAGAGTAATTAGAATGTGTCATATTTATATACATTATAGTTTCTAAAGCTTAATCTTACATTTATTGGTCATTTATTTGCCCCCTGTTGTTATTGAATCATATTCTGCTTATTTGGGGACTCAGAATGGTTTTTGTATTTTCAAATTTTATATATTGTTTGTAATTGATTTGTTGAAAGTAATATTCATTGATTTATCATATTGATTGGGTTGTTATTGATAATGTGCAAAGCCAATTTGTGTACATTTCTCTAAGCTTGTTTGGATTGTTAATCTCTTTTCTTACAAGGTGGTCACCATACTGTTTTAGTTTAAAAGTTATACTACATTATATTCTTCATTCTCTCTCACTTAATAGTATCTCATTCTCAAGCTCTCTTCCAATTTACAGTGATCAAAATATCTCTTTGATTTAAAGTAATATAAAGCTCACAAATGCTAATGATTGGGATGTCATTAAAGAGGTTTTTGCAAATGTGTGCTAAGGTGTCCCTTTTATAATAATTTCTCTCTCTCTCTCTCATCTATAACATTTGATGTGAGACTTTATATACACACGCACTAGATTTAATTATAATCAAATGAGCCATCTATAGTTGTGGGATGAAGGAATATCAATCATTAGCTCAGGTATAGGGGTGTGAACCTAGTGTTAATATCGAGTCAAATCTAGCGAGTTTAGATCAATTCGAGACTATATTTTGGGATGTTTCATAAGCAAAGCATGTGTTCACTGCTAGTAAGAAAGAGGGAGGCAGGAGGGCTCACCTCCCTCACAACTCCTAATACTCTAAATGTAAGGAAGTGATCAAAGCAAGCAACATCCCCTTCTTTCTTCCACTAATTTCCTTCGTTATATCTTTCCCCACGCTGAAAAAATAAAGATAAACACACTAGGCACCAAGGAAGTCACGCGTTAATTCCTAGCTTACGTCACTTACAAACAATTGATGCCATTTTTCATCACCATTGCGTGTCACCTTCAAATAATCTCCCTCTAATAATTATTAAAATTGAACTTTAAGGTAAATACCACCATTATCTCCAAAGTTTTATTGACATGAATTTTCAACAACAAATAATCTCTCCACATCAGAATGATCAAAACTGAGCTTTCAAAAAGTTCAAGGCTAACCATCAATTATAAGTTAAAATATTTTTAAACATTCATGTTTAAACTGAGTAGTGGGATGAAGGCTTGAAGTTGCTATTGTTGTTGTTGTTTAATTACGTCTTACTCTTCAAAAAAAAAAATGGAAGTGGAGTAGTCTACTCCCTTACAACTCATTTCTTCCTATAAATTCCATGTTAGGTTCAAAGTAAGCAACAATGATGGAGTCGTACAGCCCACCATTATTTCCTTCACACTTCCATTAACCCTCCCCATATCTAGGCCATTCAGCCACAATAGAGGAAGGCTAGACCATTTTATTGCAAAGCTAGAAACAATACATAACTACAAAGAACTCCTTGCATCATCAACAAGTAGTTGATAGAATACCATCTTTCCATAGCCTAAATTGATTTACGCAGGCCATTTCAAGAAGTTATCTACCACAAAGAACTACAATTTGTTGTAATGTAGAAACAATCATCATCTCATCTCAAATTGAGAAAGACATCAGAAGAAAGGTGCAAGCTAGTCACATCCTTAGCCATTTTTCTTTTTCTTTTTTTCCGTAATGTTTGTCCTCCATCCTAGCTATAATCAAACAAGTCTTCCTCAACACAATGCCTTTTAGAGTCCTTGATTAAGGTAAATTTTATTACCCCACGTAACGGCCATACAAATAGACTACCGTGTTATACTATTACAAGAACTACTTTCAAAACGCACAAGTTTTTTAAAACATAACAAAGCCAAAATAGAATTCTTTTTTGTTGCTTTGTACAAAAATACAAAAGAAATTACTAAAAGTTCAGCATTGTGAATCAAAAAGAATTTGACAAAATAGAAGTGCTTCAACCTCCACAACTTTATGATGTGAATCTCAAAGAGGGGATAGGGATGAGTGAGTGTTTGGCTCACTTCTTTCTTTGATGTTCCGAAGCACATATATATATAAAGAGTCACAATGTCATGTTCAAAATTGACTCAGGTACTTGGAAACTAGAACATTCTAGAATACAATATCAAGATATTGAATCATCTTGGGCGACAAATAGCATATCGCAAAAACCTACAGTAGATATTACACACAAGTCACAAACTAAGCCTGTAATTATGAGATTTATGATTCATCATATTTTACTTGGAATTCCTAACATAAAATTAATATTTTAATCCTACAAATATAAGGAATTGGCAACTTTAAAGTGATTTTTTTGGGGTAATCTAAAGCACATAAATTCATATTAAAATTCTATATATTTTTTAATAATTACAAGTTTTCCTACGAATTTCTCTCAATTTTCCTACAGTTTTTCCGCTGTTTTCACTGTTTTCCTGCTCCGGACAGCAGCTTTTCTTGGAGATTTGCTGTAAAGGTGAATAGGAAATACTTGATTTCAAGTATTTCCTATCAAATTCCCATCAAGATTTCCTTAATCTTGAACATCAAATGAAAAGAGATAAAAATGAAAGGTTGTAACAACTGTTTATCATTCTCAATAGCATTGGATTATTTAGCCAAGACAAAAATAATTAGAAGACACGGCAATTGACAAAGAGCACTGCAACTTGAACAACATAGCTACCTAAATAACAGCCTAGGGTAAATACAAGCCAATATTTTTCTTGACAAGGGCTTAAATTAACCATTTCAACAATATCATCAACGTTTTTTAATAAAAAGCTATAACCCTAAACCCTAAAATTTTGGTGGGGCATATGTAAATATTTTTATGAAAATTATATTTACACAAACAAAAATATATATTATATAATAAAACATCTTAAATTTTTGAGCGGGCATGCACCCCCTCATCTCCCACCCCATAATTACACTGAACCAAACTTATATTGTAATCTCCCAGAAGCAAAAGACAATATTCCACAAAGGGCCAAACCCATCAAATTCCAATTTGCATCATGATGTCAACCTACATTATTAACCATCGAACATCCTATTCTCAATTAAGCATATATTGAACCAATTTTAGCTTATCAACAAATATCTTCTTGAATATCTGCAAGTCATAAGACTTCTTCCCTTTTTGTTAGGGAAAATAGGTACAAAATTCCCAAAAAAATAACAAAAGAGATTGTTTTGGAACTAACATGTTGAATCTCAAGCACACACTCGATATGTAAATATACAATGAATGAAACATAAGAATCTTGATGTTAAAAAATGATCTGATGCATGCAAAGCTAACAACATGTTGATTTTCAATTAGCTAACATACATATTAACAGCATATAAACTTCATTAATGGCATCACAACATACCTTGTATAAGGTGGCAAGAACACGTGATCGTTGAGGGCCAGCAGCAGCCAATATAGTGCACGTCACAGCAGCACTTAGAGTTACTTCAAGAGCATCTGCATTAACCTCCCTGAAGTGAAGTGCGACAAAAAAAATTTGATCAAATAAGATAAATAATGCACGATGGGGTCTAGCTACATGGATCATTAACACAGACATAATAGAATAGTACATTAACTTTAGTACTCAAACCAAGGAAACAACCTAAGCAGATCATCAGAAGGAACACCCTGCTTGTGTACTTACATTATTCATTTGCACATTAAGATATTCAAATTCTTAGACTTCCCCGTAATGCCAAGATACTAAGATTGTGCTTATTTCCAAAAACTCCCATGCCAAATGTTTCTTATATTTAGACCTATTTTCCTATGCAAGACATTCTACAAAATCATTGCTAAAATTCTTGTTAACTGTATAAAATTGGTGCTGCCCTTCATTTTTCACCTTAGCCAAGCTGATTTTCTACAGCACAAGAACTTTACACGTAACATGATCCTAGCCAATGAAATCCTGCATGAATTCAATCATAGCAGGAGCATAGGTCTTTTTGTGCTAAACTTAATATTAAAAATGATTACGACACTATTAACAGAATTTTGTTCCTTCTCTAGATGAGGTAAAAAGGCTCCGCTTTTTATCGAATATATCAAGGTTTGCATTGAAGATATTTATTACTCTATATCCATTAATGGCTCCTTATTAGGCTTCTTTTCCCCCAATCTCCTTATCTCTTTAGCAATGCCATAGATACTCTCTCAAATCTCTTTGATCACAATATCATAAAAAAACCTTATGATGGGGTTGTCCTAGACTAGCAGCACTTTTCTCACCTTCTTTATGCTATGACTTCCTTGTTTTTGGCAAGGCTACCCCAACAACCTCGGAAAACTCTAAATGCCCTCCTATCCGACTTCAGTGTTATTTTAGGCTCAACATTAATCATTATAAAAGTTCAATTTTTTTTCTCTGCGAGGGTTTCCAACTCCCACTTAACATACCTCTGTCTGACAGCAAACTTTCATGCCTTGGGATTCCCATTTCCACCAAGCAACTCCATCTCATAAACATCCAATACTGCTTCATAAAACTCTACAATTACTTGAAGGGTGGAAGGCTAGCACCTTATCATTTGCTGGCAAATTCAATATGATAAAATTTTTATATGGTATTCAATTGGTTAATGGATAAGATATCTCTGTATTCCTAATACCTGCCATAAACTCATAAGCAACCTCTATTCAACATTCTTATATCATATCAATATTAATACTGAGAAGCTCCACCTAGTCTCTTGGAATAAGACTTGTAAGCCCATACTCAATGGGGGCTTGGGCTCCACATTACCTCTGCTCTTAAGTATGCATAGGCTCCTCAATTCCTCTCGGCTTTTGTCTAATTGGTGGAAAGCCAAATTCTACTCTTTGTACAAATCTTGTATGAGCAGCACCTCTCCATTATGCAAGAAGCTTATGGTAGTTGCTTATTTGATGAAGCCAAATCTTTCTTATGCTATATCTAATGATCATAAAACTATATTATTTTGGGATCCCTAGCCCTATAGCAAATCATGGGAGGATACTTTTGTTCAACAAGTTTCTCCTATTTCCCATTCCACATAAATTCTCCTCTCAGCATGCTTATCAATAACTCCAAATGAAATTTGGTTGCTATTTATGACCCTGCTGTCCTGAAGTCCATTGATAATAACTCAATCTACCCCAGTGGTACAAACTCTGCTTGTTGGAATGGCAATACCTTCAAAGACTTCGCAAATTATTTTTAGTCCAATATGTCAAAAGGTGGATTGGCACTCTTTTACTTGGCACAAACATTATGCTTCAAAATTATCTTCTTTTGCATGGTTGATGGGCTTAAAACAATGTATGCCCTTCATACCCGTAATATTGAGGTTCAACAGATGCAACTTCTACAATTTTCATGCAAAAACAAAAAAAACTACATGTTCTTTGCTTAGACCCAACTTACTATGAGTTCTATATTGCATCCATGAGATGATAGAGATCTCTGATATAATTAAAAATCAGTACTACCTTCTCAAATGTTGCTTGGTTAATCATATCTGATGTAAGAGAAATGATAGACGATTTGGAAATATTTTTGCAAGTTACGCTAAGTAAGAGAAATGATAGACGATTTGGAAATATTTCTACAAGTTACACTAACATCATCCATAAAATTAGCTAGGTTATACAAAGGGAAGTTCCTAATAGGAAGACAGTCACAGAGCTCTAAGCATTCTTATCTAAATTAGGACCCAATTTAGCTTTCAAGATTTTGCAAGATAATGATGAGTATGTTTTTTCCCTGGCTGACTGCTTATAATCTAAATGGGGCTCTGGTTGTTGCCTCATCTAATGAACTAACCACCCTCCTAGATGGATTTTTAGTAAACCGGGACCGAGAATGCACATTGGCGAGATCTTCTCCTCTCCCTTTTCCTCTTTTGGTAATGTCTTTTGTTTCTTTGTAACATTCATCGTGACTATCAGACCTTTTTTTCAAGCCTTTTTTTAGCTTCATATAGCACATCTTTTATAGTTAATGGAATTGAGCTTAGGCTCTCAAATCCCCCCTCCCAAAATAACAACACAAACACAAATTTCATTGCAAATCATATATTTATATAGCAGAAGAGAAACTCCAAAGAGCACACAAATTTAGAAATCCATTTTTTTTAACAAAAGGATGTTTGAACCAAATATAATGTTTTACAAAATTACAAAGAATCTCAATAACACAAGAAAACTTCCAATATATGCTTAGAAAAGTTTGAGCCTGAAATAAATGAAAAAATAGTTGAGCATACTGATCATCAATATGGTGTTTCTCAATCTGAAAAATGTCATAATAACGAAGTGCAGCTTCCAAAAACTTCCGCTTTAAATCTAAAATCCTTGCATAGCACATCTGACAATAAAACGATGAAACAGGTAAGACCAACGCAAGCATCTCAAGACTTTAGAATTTCATCTCAAATATAGCTGTTGATGATATCATGATAACGTGTTTCACCTTGTACTGTAAACTAACAGATTCTTGTTGACTATTCCCAACCAAAAAGGAAGCCTTGTTTATAAAAGCTTCAGCATTAACAGCATCATCATCCTAAAACATGACTTAAGAACGTAAATAAGTTACACATAAGATGTTTTACAACACCTTTTTGATTATACAGCAAGAAATTAACAAACCTCAAGATACAGAGTAGCAATTTTGACGCATTTGGACAACTTCTTAGCATCATCGATCCTAAAAAGGTGTAAAATATACAATGATTGATAGCATATATCTAATTGTTCAAAAGCACATTAAAAAGAATTCAGAACACTTCTGAGAAACCACATCCTTTTCTACCTAATTCCTGAATCCAAATCAATGCCACTTAGCATCTGTGCCGCTTTAGACCACTGCTTCTCAGATTCATACAAGTCAGCAAGCTTCTCCCTGAAGGCTAAGACCTGCGATGTTTGGATTATAGGAGTATTAAAAAAAAGATTCAAAAGGTCATCCATCATTAGCACATATAAAAAGGTAAAATGAGAAATCACTAATGCTGAAAAAAAAAATTCTTTGGATTCTAATACATAAAACCAATAGATTAGCTTTTCACGTAGTAAATCCATGTAACCAAAATTTGGACCAATGAAATATACAACCAAGGACACAGCATTTGCATTTTAAGGTAAAATGCCGTAATATGCTTTTAGATTCTATGTAATAAAAATTTTGGGAAAGCTTTCTCCATTTCAAATCCAAGTGAAAGTAGTGGAACTCAGAAAATCGGCCTCCTTTGGTGTCATTGTTTTGGCCAAGCATCAAGGGCATGATTGGTGTGGTGGCAACGGCCAGGGCCTCCCCTGCTACCATGATGCTCAATCCTAGAGCCACAGTTGCACGTTCATAGCCTTTATGCAAGTTATAAATCAAATATGACAAACCGGGGCGATTATAAATAGAGTGACATAGTTTATTTGTAATATGTCTACAAAAATTAAGGTGTGTGCAAGAAACGTGGAGAAATTTCAATTCCCAAGAGCCGTTGGAATATCTTTTGGAACAAAATAAAAAGGAAACATCAAAAAACGCATCTGAAATGGTACCTTTCAGCGTCCATTGTCCAAAAAGTTGTCTTTGACTAGACATGTCCACTTGATTCGTGAGGCCTAGCAAGTTTGGTAACAATAATCACCTTTAAGGGATTTTTTTATCTAATGACAGTTTATTGATATCTTCATAACATGTATTACCAGTTTGGTTTACTGAAAATTGAGATTTTTGGTTTAACTATCTGCTATCTGCTATGACAACGGTAAATCATAAATGAATCAAGAATATAAAGAGAAAGAATCACATCGATCTTTTCAGATAAGGCTACAACCTTTCTTTAGTATTGGTTTGATATTGTCTTTAGGATTTAATATGAATTGCTGTTCAATTCAGCTGAACAATACATTTTCTCTTATTTTGCAAGTTAGATTGCTAGATTGGGAAATCTAATTAGTTAATCCTATTTGTCCAATCTCCCTAAATCCAATCAAATTATGGATCACGAGGTTGCCTGCATCCTAATTTCAAATCTGCAACTTAAATGCAGACTGGATTAATCATAATTCAAATACCAATTCACTAGAACTACTAGTATTTGCTTTAGTTGATATAATCTAAAACAAAAAACAATGCAATGGCATACAAATAACACAGCTCTCTATATAACATTATATTCAAAATGCCAATTAACCTAACAGCCCCTTCAAGCAATCAAACTCTCCAATTAATGAATTTTCCATCATAATACATCACATCAAAATAAACGGGGGAGAGAAAAAGCAACCTGGTCTTCAAAAGACACCACGCGAGGCTGGACCTGGGTTAGGGCATAGTGAGCGATGTCCTTCTGAGCATCGTGGGGTAGGGGACGTAGTTCCTGCGCCAAAATCAAGAACAACTGCCTTGAGATGAACAGAGCCACATCATCCGAGAGCACTGAACAAACAAAAAGACGAAATCAATCAGAACTATAAACAACGAGCTATAGCATAGATGAATCAAAACCTTCGCAAATGGTAGTTTCAGTTCAGGGTTTTACAGTGATCGATGAAACGCTTGGCCTGGTAGACAACGTTGGATGGGGAGGAGATGATGGAGGATATGATAAGCCTGTATTGCTCGATCTTCTGCTTCTGGTCCCCGATGGAGACCGCGTTAGCGAGGGCACTCTCCATTGCTATCTCCTCGCGCGTACTTCGTCCCCTAAGTGGGGCTTGCAAAACCCTAGCTCTGCAAATCCCGCGCTGGTTAGCTAGAATGATCTAACGTGAAATGGAGGGAATCTAGGTGAGAAATTGAGCCGGCTTTTAAAGGAGAGGAGCATTTGATACAACTACTACAGCAAGTTTTTTGTAATTATAATTACAATTTATTTAGTAGATTATTTGTTTAAAGCTTATAAATTTTAATAGTAAATTTGGAAACTTTAAATATTATGGGTGCATGGAATCAATTATATGGAGTGATGATTTATGTCAATAACAAAATATGAATAATTAATTTAATAGAAAAAAAAAAGTTTGGCATAGCATTATTTATCGTGAATCACTACTTAACGAGCATAAAATTAGGAGCAATTATTAGGTCCTTTCACTGGATGTAGAGGAATGTTCGGTTTTAGGCAAAAATAGGTCAAAAAGTGCAAATACCGAGTTTTTCAAAAAACTCGGTATTTTTTCAAAAAACTCGGTATTTGCACTTTTTTAGGCAAAACCGAACCTTCCTCTAGGTCCTTGCACCGGACCAAATAAAAATCCTATAATTAGAGGCTATAATACAATCATGTCATTCATACCTACATCATAATTGCACTTCCTTTGTAGTAATGACATCATTGCAATTGTGTTGGCATTGCAATAATATCTCTTAAGATCGGCATTACAAATTCGCCTATGTTGCATCTGTTTTTTTTCTAAACTTGTGCCACAAATTCAGTTATAGAATAGGGGTGTCAATTTCAGGTCACGGGTCGGGTTTGGGTCGAACCAGAAACTGACCCAGTACTATTCGGGTCAACCCGAACCTAACTCATTTCTGTAAACGGGTCGGTTTTTCGGACCCGAATCCGACCCGCTTCGGATCCGGGTCAACCCGACCCGACCCAAATGACCCGATTCGGACATAAAACTGCTAGTTTTCAGGTCCAAAACGAGTCAAACTCCACTTTTTTTGGTAAAAAACAGGTCAATCTTAGGTTCCCAGGTCGAAAATGGGTTTTCTGGTCAAAAACAAGTCATTTTTTGTCAATTTCGGGTTGACAGGTCAACTCGAACCCAACCCATTTTTTGAAACGGGTCGAATTATTGAACCCAATCCGTTTCAGATTCGGGTCGGATCCAATATTGACACCCCTAATTATAGTGCATACATCTGCATCATGACCTACAGCTCAAACATGCATTTATCAGAGTCATCATTGTATTTAGACATATGTCGTAATATCACTTATGTTGTATTTGGCCCTTGCAAGGCCTAAGGTATTGATTAATTATAGTTAATTTGTTTAAGGTAAATTGACATTTTTCTTATATTTCCATTGCGGTTGATTTTTTTATAAATAAGGGTGTCATCTTCTATTTGCGACAGAAAAACTAAATGTGTAATTCTCCATGATAAAACCATAGTGAATTTTGACAACTCCGATGGCCCAGTTAGAAGAGTATAAGGTTTGGTTTGGGACGGCTTTTTTACTGTTTCTTAAAGCAGCTTTTTAGTACAAATATTTTAATTTTTATACTAAAATGCTGCTTTAAGAAGCAGTGAAAAAGCCGCCCCAAACAAAGCCTAAGTATTAGATTTGGCTCGTGTTAAAAAAAGTAGAGGTATACCTAAAAAGACGTGGTTAGAAAGTACTAAATATGATTTTTTATTGAATTTAAATGAGAAATTGACTCTTAATATAACACAATGAAGAAGAATGATTCATATTATTAACTCCAAGTTGAATAAAGTATCAATAACAATTAACAAATTCAAGTCATATATTTTATTTGAGACAGCTTTCTTACTTCTTCTTAAAATAGCTTTCTTAAAACTTTTGTACTAAAAAACTACTTTAAGAAACAATAAGAAAATCATCCCAAACAAAGCCATTGTTAGTTACACAGAAAAATTTCTTGACACATTACATAAAAATTTACATAAATTATAGTTTATAAATTATAATAAAATCAAACTCACAAACTTTATAATGTTGTAATAAAGTAATGTGTGTGTGTGAAAATATGTTCAATTTGGTCCTTCATATTCCACCAAATAACATATAATATTAAAGTATATGATTTATATGAGATTGAGGCTTCATTTAGGATGACTTTCTTACTGCTTCTTAAAACAGTAAGAAAACAGTCCCAAATGAAACATGAATGGTGCATGCGGTATGTGGCTTTTATGTGTTTTACATATTTAAATTTAGCGCATTCGTCATATTTGTCAAGTAAATCTAATATTTATAACCTAAAATACATAAGTAAATGTTAAAACCGCAATTTATTTTTATATTATAGTCTTCATAGTAATTTTTATTGCAGAAATTAGTATGTGATTCGCATGTAAAAACTAATGTATGCAGTGAATATTAGAAAGGAATTATTTGAGATATTTATGTAAAAAAAATCTTGAATTAATTTACTTGTATGTCATTTAATTTTTACATATTTCCATATCTAATATCCTATTTTTAATAATTATTTATTAATGCATAAATAACATCAACGCATATGCTTGATAAAATGTTTTTTTATTTTATATAAATTAATGCTATTAGGGGAATAAACGAGCCAAATTTGATCAATCTCGTTGTGTGATCTTATTCAAGCTCATTAGATTTTTTTTGAAATTGGCCATTGTTTTAAATTATTTGTTAATATTATTTTCATGTTCAATTTGTTCGTCTTCAACACAAGCTAATTTCAAACCAAAAAAAAATCAAACTAAGCACAATATAATCATCTTACTTATCTATTAATCAATTAATAAATCTAAGAAAAAATATAATTAATAACATATAAATTAAATATTTATATGTTTTAAGTCAATGATGAGTCATATTAGGGGTGTCAATTCGGGTCAACGGGTCGGGTAATGGTCGAACCTGAACTGACTCAGTACTATTCGGGTCAACCCGAACCCGACTCGTGTTTAAAACGGGTCAAGTTTTCGGACCTGAACCCGACCCGCATCGGGTTCGGGTCAACCCGACCCAACACGGATTTCCGAATTTTCGATCATGGAACGCGTCGAGCTCCCGTCGCTGTGTCCAATTCCGATGAGTCGACGCCACGGCGAGCTGGCCGGCTTTCTCGAATTCCTATTTTACAGGAAAGAACATCGTGTGAGGAGTCCCTGAAGTAGGAAGACCTAACGTGATCGCGTGAGCAGCGGCACAGCGGGGAATAGCGGTGGCGGGCGGCCAGGCACTCGAGCAGCAGCAGCAAGCCAGCGACGGACGACGGGTCATTTCGCGGCCGGACCGCGTGAGTCACGTGACGCCTGACGAAGTGACAGAGCGACTTGGCGCATCGCAGGCTTGCAGCATCAGGTCATTTCGCATGCAGGGCGAGCACGCTAGGCAGCACATATGGGCAGAGCAATTTCCGTGTTAATTTCGGGTCGATTTTTGGGTTTTCGTGTCAACCCGAACCCGACCCGAAACTCAAATCGGGTCAGTTTTTTGAACCCGAACCCGACCCGGAAAAATATGGTTTCGGGTCGACCCATATAGCATACGGGTCAAGTTCGGATCAGATTTTGGGTCCTGTCAAAAATTGACACACTATATTTTCCTAGTCGTATATTAGCAAACAAAGCTCTATTTGTGTAATATGAGCAAGAGTTATAGCAAATGAGAAGCTTTTTGATAGCCTTAAATATTATAATATTTTTATGTCATTTAAAATATTTTGACTCACAAATTTATTTGGCAGTCTAATAGTTAACACATCTAATGCTCTTAATTTAAAAGAAGGTAAAAATAGGCATAATAAATAACTTTTTTTTCAAATTAATTTTACAATTATAGCATTTTTTAATAAACAATTTAAAAGATGACCTTCCCACTATAATTTTAAAATTATAGCATTTTTCAAATTAATTAAAGTTAATACATATATTGCTGATCCAGTGGGGGCCCGGGACCCATCGCGGATCTGCTCCTGCACGTGCTTCAAATAAAGAGGGCAATATTTCATGGAAGCAATCTTCCCCTCATATTTATTTATGAAGCCAATAATATTCATATGATCAATTGCATATATTCATAATCAATAATATAACATTTATTTTAAATATTAAATAATATAATATAAAAATAACCATACTCCTATATATATTTAGATTTATATATCATAAAAGGGGACAAAACTCTTATATGCCCTACATAGGAAAAATGAAACCAAGTAAGAACTTAGGACTTAATGAATAAAGACATACTTTATAGCTCATAAATTAATTAAATAAGTGAGATAATCATGCATTTCTTAACCAAGATGCAACCCCACAAGGAAACAATTTGAAAATGTCTCAAATTATGTATCAATTCAGACTTGCGGTAGAACTTCAATTTCTTGTCACTTTTGCATTCTTCATTGCTGATTATTTTTTTATGTATGATAGTGATCTTATAAAGTTTTTTTTTTTTTTTTCCAATGGTATGGTCAAATTAACCTTGAATTAAATAATTTTATTTGAAATAGGTTTCATCTAGTAATAAATTTTAGTGACTTTCTAGTAATTTTTTATTTATTTAAGGATTATTTGATTTATTGAAAAAGAAATGTAAAACAAAATTGCATGTTGTGCAATAGGAATGAGATGTATGTAAAATGTTACAAGTTATTTGGATGCGTGTAAAATAAATGAAGCGGGTTATTTTTTTGTTTGACTGAAAGGTGAATGCATTGTAAACTTAAGATGATGGAGTTGTGGGTGGTGGTGGGCGGTGGACAGCCGTAGAGGCATTAACAACAACTGACAGTATATGGCGTGTGGTGTTTGGCAGCTGTGGAGGCTGACAGTGGCAAGCGGAGAGGGACGATAGTGGATGCATGCCAATGATTGTTGGTAGTTAACGACATCAATAATAGAGAATTTACATAATATTTTAAAAATATGTCAAAACTAATAATTTTCAAATATATCAAAATTGAACTCTTTTACTTTAGACCAAAATTTGAATCCTCTTTACTACGGCCTCACCACTAGTGGGGCAAAGCAAGTGTCGGTTTGATGCTGTTGGGTGGCCCCTTTAGGTTCTGCCGAATGATTAGTTACACTGCCAAGCGCTCCCTTTAG